ACTGTTGGTTCATTGTCTTGCACTGGGGAGGACTGCTAGGAATGCAGTGTATTCAGTGCATGCACAATGCACTGCAGTAACTAGGGTCATCTAAGGACCAGCTGTGGAAATTTGGCTGCACTCCTCACTTTCCTCCTTCTCATTGGGCTGTGGAAAAAACCGAAACAACCCCAACACCCCAAAGTTGTCATGTGCACATGGTGGTCAGGGTCACCTAGATAAGGGCTTGGCTGTTGATAGCATTTTATCCATGACTTTCCTGTACCTCTTTAACTCTGCTTACAGCTACAAGAGGAGAAGTTTTTTTAGGCAATAAATTGGAAATTATGACCTTGTAGTGCTACCTTGAAAGCAGCACCTCCCTTTTCCAGGAAAAGCAACTTGTGTCTGTTCTTTCTGTTGAAATTTGCAAGTTTCTGTATTCAAGTTTTTCATTCTTCAGCTTCGAGGCTTTGAAACTTTGGATGCTTGAGTTTCACATGTAACTATCAGTCTCCAGATATTGAATCCTAAAGTGCCAGCTGTCACAAGCATCAGGAAACAAACTGGAGGAGCTGACAGTCTATAGGCAGAGGCAGGTGATGTGACTTACCCACGGCCATACGGCCAGCTGAGTCAGGATTAAAATTCAAGCCTTATGATTTTCCTAAACAATGCCAAGCCTGTGGGAGCCATCTGACTTTCTGCCACAGCTTTGCAGAGGACAAACCTCAGTTTATGCCTTAGGTAGTTAAAATAGTCATGTAGGACTGGTCTGAGTTTCCTCAGTGTAGAAACACAGGAGCTGGTGCTAGCTGACTTTATGGCAGGCAATTTCCTGTGCTGTGTCTGAGACTTGTTTGCTTTCCATGCTCTGGGAAAGTCATCTTGTGGGAGGAGGTGAATTTTTGCTTGCTAAGCCCCAGAACGTACTATGGCAGGGGTTACCTGATATAATCCATAGCTCTGGATCAGGTTTTTAAGGTGTTGGACACTGCCCAAACCTGGACTGTGCAGTATCAGAGCTGACCTTGAGCACAGGCTCAAGTCCTGTGGGATGGGGGAAGACAGGGCTCAAGGAGAACATTGCTGACCAGGCCAATTGGAGCCTTCTGGATCCCCTGCACTCCCATCTTCCCATTATATCTTCCAGCCCTGGGAGAGGTGTTTTTGGTCTCCAGCACGGTTCCCAGAGGTGAAGGGCTTGTTTGAAGTTAGGACTCCATCTCTCATGGAGCTGATGCTGGTTGAACTGGTGTACCCAGAAAAGAGGAATAGTCCCATGAAGCTCTGTCAGCATGCACTGGCTGCTGCAGGCACCCTGCTTCTGTCAGCATGCTCATGGCAACAGTGAATGCTTTCATACAGTTTCAAAGGGAGGCTGGAGTGTCTTGGAAGATGAGGAAGGACCCACTGGCTCAGGAACTGCCCCTGACAGGCTGACAGTGGCTATTAGTTGGCAGATGTCTTCAGGGAAGTTTTCTCTTTGCTTGCCCTGCTGTAACTCTTCCTTCACCAGCCATTCACAGCCACTGTTGAGGGCAGGATGCTGGGCTAGACCAACTCTGCTGTGACCCATTGCACACCTTTTTATGATGGAAATCAACAGCTCAAGATGCAGAGATTGTCCTGGCTCCAGATTAGATGTGGAAATTGATTTTTACTGGTGCTGACCTTTTCCTGCCAGAAGGGACCTGGAAAAACTAATCCTGCCAAGAAGTTTTGGTAACAACCATTGGCTTTGTCACTGGAGGTGGCTTGACTTCATCTCTCTGGCAGAGCCTGGCAAGTTTGCCTGACCAAAAGCCTTAGCTGCCTGTACAGATCTTCTCTGCCTTTGCCCCTTGTGTTAGGAAAGCATGGTTCTTCCCAAGCTGATCTTCCTGCACTTAAGCCAGCTCTGCTTGCCTCACTTTTGGATGCCAGTCTGCAGTTCTGGTACTCCAATGATCTCAGTCTCTTTCAAAGTGGTCCTTCTGTGATGTTGTGCATCATGCTGATGGAGCTGCTGCCCCAGTCCTTTGCAGTGATGATCTGTAACTGGGGAAGGTACGACAGCACTTGTTAGACTAGATCTGCTTTGTGCCCCACCTGCACCATGCAGAGCCCTTACAAACAGGGACTGAGAGGAAGAATTTCTCAGTCACAGGCTTCTGGGACAGAAGTCCATCAGAGCTGCATGTGTTTTGCTTTCTGGGGCTCTCCCTTATTTGCTGCTTTGTTCCCCTACAAGTGCTGTCTCACCATTGAAAAAGCCACATCTGGCTTGAAGCCACTTGAAGCAGCTTGGACAAGAGACTTCCTGCTCTGAACACTGAATTAATGGGCTTGGTCTTTTACACGAGTGAAATCCTTTCAGACTTTTGTCCGTGTCAGGCTCCCATGTCAGCTCTTCTAATTAAGAGGCTTTTAACTCAGCCAGTGTTTGGGAGCTACAGTGCAGCTGGGCTTTTGATAAAACAAGGAAATGCTAGAGGTAGGGATGTAATGGGTTGGATTTCAGCTTCAAAAAAATGTCTCTGAGAGAGAACAGAACATCCTCCTTGCACCACCTCTTGTTTGCTGCAGCAAAGCTGGGGAGAAGTCAACTGTGTGGGCTGCTCTAGAACTGATGAAGCTGATAATAAAAAGTAAGGTCATCTTTATTTGTGGAGTCCTCAGTGTCCCTTAGGCAGCCAGAGGGATGTTTTAGAAAACTTTGCATACTTGTTCCTTTTCTTATTCTGGCTTTTTTCTACAATCATGTCATGGCTCTTGCTTTGAAATCCCTTTTGCTTTCTACCCCTGCTGCTGTGTGGAACAGGGTGCTGCTTGTGCTGAGGCTGTATCTATGCAAAAGGAATGGGTCTGGAAAAAAAACTTCAGAAAGGTGGCCTGTAGAAGGCAGTAATTATCATTCACCAGTGTGGCTGTTATTCCTCACCATAATCACCTGTAAAATCTAGGAAGCATAAGATATTTGGGTTCTTTTTGTTTTTCTTTCAAGGCTAGCTTTGCCACTTTTACTTGCCCATGGAAAGTAAGCTGGTGTTCTTTCTGACTTCTTTACTACTCACACACACAGATTTGCCATCAGAGGCAAGCTGACTGTCCAGCTAATGTATAGAATCTAACTGTAGTCTCCAAATTTTCCTGTGTTGGCTCCATTACACAAAAAGTGTTTGGTAGGAGGGTTTGTTTGAGAAAGAGCAAAAGAGAAAAACATGGTCTGCCTCCTTATTTTTTCTGCTTTCTCCCTTTCCTTCCTCTGCTGTATTCCCCAAAGCTTGTGTCCAACTCTGTGTCCACTGCTTGCTGAGGATGTTTACTTGACTAGAAACATATAATAGTCCCCATTTATAGGTAGTCTTCTGCAGAGCTGGGTGTCACTTGAGCAGATATTTATTTGGAGCAGAGGTGCCCTGGAAAAGCAGCGATTTGAAAGGGGGAATGGAGCGTTCTGCTTGTTCTGTGAAGCAGAACCACCCGCTGGCTCACGGGCCAGCAGTAACAAACGGAGTCAGAGAGCGTGGGGCATAATTGCCTTCTCCTTTTGTGTCAGCTTCATATCGGTCTCACATGTGACATTCTTCCTGGCCATCGTACTCTTTATCCTCCCATTGTACCAAGAGTGCAAACAGAATTAGTTTGTTTGTTATCGTGGCATCTGTACGTGGCTTTTAATTTCTTGGAGGTTAAAAAAACGTAAGCAACCCAACCCTCAAGCCCTCTTTGTCCAGCACTGTTTAAATCTGCTCTCAGCCTGCTTGCACAGCTCACTTCTGCCCTGCAATGCAGAAAACAAGTCTGCAGACAGAGAAATCTAAAGCAATCAGTGCAACAAGCCTTCAAAAATGTGGTGGTGTAGCTGAAGAGGAGCTGTCTGGAGAAGGTGTCTGATTCCATGAGACCAGTAAGTCAGAAGGTGGCTTGGTGTAGGGATGCATTGTAGGCATTTTTACAGTCACAGTGCCAAGCTGAAATGGGTGCTCCCCTTCCTTTTTTGCTTTAGGTACTTGGAAGTGATGGGAAATATTTTCTTTGGCCTCTGAAATGTCTCCGTAGTTTTGTGGTTTCCTTCCTATAAAGGTGAATGTTTCAGATTAAAATTCTGTTTGGCAGCTCATGAGTTCTCAAAACAGACTCTTGAAGGCAAGAGGTCAGGAGTGCCCAGCTTATTAAATTTTTCCCACTGTAGGAATTGTCTGACCTTTCTTTGTACTGTAACAGCATTAAAAAAAAAAAAAAAAAAAAAGAAAAAGATGGAGCTGCTATTTGGAAAGTGTTAACAAGAAAATGTCAGAGGTGGAAGGCCAGACAGAAGACCTGGCTGGGAGAGAGGGCTGGGGGTGACATTTCTTCTCTTTCTTCTGTCACTTGCACAGATCATCCTCTTATCTGCTCTCATCCTGCTCTGGGTTTTTGCAGTTTTAATGCAGGTTTGGTGCTCGAAGGTGTGGTGCAGAAAAGCAACAAGAGAAGGAGAAGTACATGTTGAGAAGGAAAAGTACATGTTATTGCCAGAGGAACCAGAGAGGAGCACTCGCAGCGTTTGAGCCCCATCTTAGCTGCCGTGGGACTCTCACTGTGCTCCCATGCAGATTTACCTGTGTGCTTTAATGTTCCCTTCCCACCCCTTGTCTCCACTGAAACCTTCCCTTGGCAGCTGGCTTTCACCAGCAAAGAACTCTGACCTGACTGTGGGTCTGAGGCAGAGGAGGAGAGATGGCAGCAGAGCCGCCCTGCTGGGTGCAGGGTGACAGAGGTGTGGAAGGCTTAGCACATCCATGTTGCGTGCAGGGTTTAATCTAAATGTGGTGTGTGCCTCAGTGTGATGTGTCTGTGACCCAAACTCCCTTCCCCCCTGTGCTCAGTTCATAGAACCATGGAATACTTTGAGTTGGAGGGGACTTCAAAGGTTATTTTGTCCAGATACGGATGCTGAATATTCTGTCAACCATTGAGGCATTTAACTATATCATGTGTGGCTTGGAAGTTGAGGGTCATGTTTGACTGGGTTTTCTCTGTTTCCTGCCCCACAGCTCTTCTGTTTGGCCTGCCTGGGGGAAGAAGACTTTGAGAAGATGGAGAACCAGAGTGGAGTGCTCTTGGGATATGTCCGCTGGGAAGGAAAAGAGGAAGGGGGTGAGGAGGATGGGGTGGCTCCTCGTGTTTCTCCTCCCAGCCAAATGAGCAGACTGGAAGATGTGCAGGTGGAGATGCTTGAGAAGGCAAGGGAGCTCTTCCAGCTGTGTGACAAGGATGAGAAGGGTTTTATCACCAAGGTGGACATGCAGGTGAGGGAAAAAAATTCTTCCTCTGTCCTGGGAGGATCTGTGAAGTCATGGGTGGCAAAACAGGGGACAATGTGGCATGCCTCCACTCTTGGCAAGTGTGGGTGTGCATGTGGCTTCTGTCTTATTCAGATTTCTAAGAACCAAACTCTGGCACAGACACCTGCTAGGAACTAAAATTCCCAGGAGGGCCTCACACCTCCAGGGAATTCCTGAGACAAGTGGGGCTGCAATTCAAAATTTTTATGGAATGCATAAAATAAAAAAAGTTATGACTGTTCTTACAAACATCAAGTATGTAGTGGATGGGAAATCTGGAGGGAAAAAAATTTTTGGTCTGATTAAAACAACCCCTGAAACAAGCCCCCCCAAAAACATACACAATGAGCAATCCATCAACCTCTCTAAAAAAAGTTGAGACGACAAAGTTATACAATCATAGTTAAAGCCTAATGCAAAAATTCACCTTAGACCTGAACTATAACTTTTGTCTACAATTATGTGTTTTGCTGTTTTCTGTTACAAAAGTACTTGTTAACAAATTCCCTGTAGTTCTTAGTGACTTTTGCTTTAAAAGTTTATCAGCAAGGTTACATGTGGATTTTTTTTCTCCTGCCCCATCTCTCCCCACATCTATAAATAACACTTGACACGTTCATGCCACTTTAAATATTGACTCATTTTGCTTTGGGTTGTGTGATGCCTAATTTTTATAGTTATATTAATAAATTTTTATTAAGTTTTTTTATGTAAAGCTGCATGTTTAATGGACAGTTAGGAGATTTTAGCCTACACCCCTTTGTTATTCGTTTCTTTGGGTGCCCTTCCCCACTAGGTGCTCTGGATGTGCATTATGAAGGGGAATTGTTTTGCTCTTTGTCCATGGGAGTAGTGATACAGTCCCAGCAGGCAGAAGGTGATGGAGCAAAGCTAACTCACTGTTATGGACTGAACATTTCCTTTAGGATCTGCAAGAGCTTGGAACTGAATCCAGAAGGATTCAGAGAACAAAGTCTGACCTCCGTCCCTGGCCAAAGAGATGGAGCTGGTACCTGGTGTGCCCAGAGCTCTCCTGGGAGCAGCAGTGGTCACAGGAGGCTGGCAGTGCCACCTCTGAGCAGGAGAGGAGGGAGGGAGGCAGTGAACTAGAGACAGTGGTTCTGTAGTGGGGGAGGAAGCAGGTTGAGCTTTCTCCAAACAAAATAACCTGAAATTCCCTCTTTGAAGTCCTGGTTGAATCAGCCAGTAATGGAAAAAGTCAACACATCAATGACTCCAGACAGGTGTTTGTGTCATCACTCAGCTCTACAGGCAGACTGTCACACCCTGGGCAGGATGCAGTGCTGAAAGGGCACACTGCTGTGGGCCAGAGCTGAGGATGGCAGGGACACTCACAAGGAAGACTTGAGCAGTGCCTCAAGTTTGTGCATTCTTTTGTCTTTGCAGCGGCTCCAGAGTGAACTCCCCCTAACCCCTGAGCAGCTGGAGACTGTTTTTGACAGCTTGGAACAGAATAACAAAGGATACCTGACACCTGTGGAGTTCAGCATGGGTCTAGGTAAGGACTGCACAGAGGCAGAGGAAGGAAAAAGCCCACCTGTGACAGGATGTTTTTTGTTGGTAAGAAAGAAAGTGCAGTGGTTCTGCTGAAGCTGCACCAGCTGTGCAGGACAATGCCCCATGCTCATGTGAGCATCATTGGAGAGGGTGGGTGTGTATCCCTCTCCTGGAGGCTTTGTGCTGCCTACCTGCTAGAGCCAGCCACAGAACATCTCCTGCTGGAGAGGGTACATGCTGCAAACTGTGCCTGGCTATCTGATTAGAAAGTTGTTCATCTGCATGGAAATATCCCTTTTGGCAACTGTCCCCAGCTGGTAGTCGTGCTGTTCAAGGGCATTAGTAGTCTTGTTGGTAGGCTAGAACCACTGGCAAATATGCCTTTGTTGCCTTCTTAGTGCTGTCTTTTCCAAACACTAGGAGAATGCTAATCCTTGACCAGAGTCCTCACCCAGCAGCACAAGTGCTCATCTGCTTTGTCAGCTCTCAGAAAATCTGCACCTCTCAGTGCCTTCCTTCGACATGCAGAGGTGTTAAGTGGATCAGGTCAAAGCAAGTGTGCATAGGTAGTCTAGGGTTTTCAGAAGTGATGGAAGAGGCTCCTGAATTTTGCTGTCCTGATTGCTCAGATTATGTTTGCTCCTAGCTTTCTCACAACTTGGGAGGGAGGGCTTTTTAAGGCTGCAGTTTGAATGTTCAGAAACAGCCACCGTGAGAGGAGAAGTTGCAAAGATTTCATTTAAATTAACCCAGTAAAGTGTGTCTTGGGCCAGCCTGTACAGGGACTGCTTTATTCCACTGAATGCCTGCTGACTACACCTGTTCCTGTCCTGTGCCTCTGTCCTTCTTGTCTGGTTCCACTTCTTTGGCAGAAACAAGAGTCCTGTCAGGAGTGGGGGCTTTCCAGTCCATATATGTAGCAGGTTAATGGGCATAATTTGGGCACGTTGGCATCCATGGTGCCCTCTCTGTTATGACTTGGTTACTCCCAAATCTCGTTGTATGAGGCATTTGTCCCATGGGCATCATGAAGACATCTGCCTCAGTGCCATTGCTGGGAGAGGTAGGCAAGTTTTCTCTTTGTATCACCCTATGCTGGCAGCCTGGCTCCATGGCACTTGTTCCAGTCTAGGCAAAGCACTTAATTTCTGTATTTCTTTTTTTTTTTTTATGGTTATTCTTTGTGTCTGGCATCACAGAAATCCTTTTCAGACTGACTTTGGCCCTAACTCAAGCGTTTGGTCTGGCTGTCTCTCTTATGGAGTGTGCAGGAGCAAATCAAGGGAAAGCAGTTCAAGCTGCAATCAGGTCTGCTTCTTGAGAGGGCTCCTTGCTCCTTCTAGGATATCAAAACAATCTTCAGATCATTCTCTACTGCAATTTTCCCATCTCCATCTCAATTTTCCCATCTGTAAAAGAGAAATAATGAGACATAATGACTCTTTCTCAAAAGCAGACATCAAAAGTGCCTAATCTAAACCATTCTCCTTAATTAACTGTCTGATCATCAGGTTTTAACTAAATAGGGCCTGGATCCCCACATTGCAAGTTTTTTTACAGCACATTTTAAGAGTGGGAGAGAAGCAGCTAAATTCTGGATTTACAGAGGTAAGGAGAGGTAAAGTTGAGTCCTCGAAGTATAAAAACTATGGATATTTTCCCCCTTAGAGTAGCTTCATGTTCTCATCTGTACTCTGTGAACATCCTTGACTCCTTATCTTGTAGTTGGGATGTAATTTCTGCCTTTTGAACCAAGGTGATGTATTTTGGAAAGGAAGAGTAGCTCCTGCTGAAGGTCTGACCTCTGTATACAGATGAGGGGCTGTGTTTTGGATAGGTTTGCTTGGTTTGCTTCTTTGAGAAGGATTTGTTCCCAGCACCAGGATTTGTCACATGCCTCGCATAGCAGGAGGTTCTCGTGGCATTCTCAGCACGGAACAATCCCGATAGCTGGAGGCCGTCTGGACGTGGGATGGGGGCAGGAGGAGGTGCTTGGAGGGCGAGTTCATCCTGCTCTACACAATCCTAGCAAGAGGCAGTCCTTGTTGCGCAGCGCTTGGCTCAGAGCAGAGGGTATTGAGCCCCTCCTCTCCTGTTTTTAAGCGGAGGAGCGGCTGCATGGTGCAGTCCGGGGCCGGGCACGCAGGCCGGAGGAACGTGTGGGAGCGCGGCTGAGCCCCGAGCGCCGCTCTGCGAGCGCCGGCCCTGGGTGGAGCTCATCGGCACACAGATGTGAGCGGAGCCCCGCAGCCCGGGCCCTGGGTGGAGCTCATCGGCACACAGATGTGAGCGGAGCCCCGCAGCCCGGGCCCTGGGTGGAGCTCATCGGCACACAGATGTGAGCGGAGCCCCGCAGCCCGGGCCCTGGGTGGAGCTCATCGGCACACAGATGTGAGCGGAGCCCCGCAGCCCGGGCCCTGGGTGGAGCTCATCGGCACACAGATGTGAGCGGAGCCCCGCAGCCCGGGCCCTGGGTGGAGCTCATCGGCACATAGATGTGAGCGGAGCCCCGCAGCCCGGGCCCTGGGCTGGCGGCCAGGCTCAGTCCCAGCACTGCGAACGGACACTGACATCACTCGGGACGTCAGAGCGGAGGCGCTTCACTGTCCGGGAGCTGTATCCTGCACCGGCAGCATGCACGAGGCCTCTCCTGCAGCTCTGTCAGGCTGCCATGTAAATAACAGCTTATTCAGTGACATCCAATTTGACTTTGTTTATTCTTCTTCTCTTCACCTTCCACCAGGAAAGTTAATAGGGATTGAATTGTGTCAAGGGGCTGGGAGAATGGATCACTCCAGACACGAGGAGACCTTCGAGTCAGGCTGGTCAGATGACTTGGACCCTGCAGATGATGATGATGAAGAGAAACGATTCTGTTCCATGATGGAGCAGCTTGGAGCAGCCCAGTTGTTTGAAGAGTAAGTAGGGGAGTCATATGGCATTGCTTCCACCCTGTTTTGACCTTGCAGTACCAAAACTTCAAAGTACCAGAAAAGACCAAAGAGGTGAACTGAGCTGCTTGCTCTCCAAAGCGCTGCTTGGGCTCTCTGCACTTCAGCCTTGGGTTTTCATACGCTTGGTAGCAAATGCAGTGTGGTCTGGGTTTCCTCATCAGGTACCAATTACTTTTAGCTCAGTGCTTTTCAGAGTTTCCCAAATTCAAGTTTGTAACACAGCTGTAAAATGGGACAGCTGGTGGCATACAAGTCCAGCGCAGGCAGCAAATGAAAAGAAGCATGTGAGGGTTAGCTGAGGTAAGGAGGATGAGTGTGCTCTCTGTTCCAAAATAGTGTGTGACTGTTCACGTATTTTCAGACAATCAGTTCCAAGAGTCTTTGTGAAGGATCTGTGCTCAAGGAGCTGCTTGGGACCGTGCTGATCTTGAAGAGTATGAAAGGCTAAACTGGGCAAAGGGGTGCTCCTGTGAGCCTTGAGACTTGGTGCTAATGCCCTTGCACGTAGCCCCAGTAGAGTCTGCAGGCCCCAGTGTCATCCAGCCTATTTTTAGGCTTTCCAACATGAGGCATTATGCATAACTGGTTCTTACTGATGCACATCTGCAGGACCTGGGGTGCCCAACTACATCTCTGGCTGTCCTGCTTTTCAGGCTTTGTACTCCAACTGCCATTGTGCAGGAAGCAGTCCAGGTTAGGGAAGGAGGTGGACAGGATTGGAGACAGAAGCTGAAAGTGATGGAGTTTGCTGCTTTCAGAGACACATCTGTCACAAAACAGACTTTTTTTTTTTTTTCCTTATTTTCATTGTGATGCAAAGCACCTGCATGTTTTAGTGATAAACAACTTCTGTCTGGAAGAAATTCTGGAAAGCTGTTAGTCTTCAAACAACAGGATGACCCTGTGAAAGGCCATATTACTGTTCTGGGAAAACAGTCTCGACTGTTTATAAGTCTGCTTTGAGAAGCAGAAGTGCAAAGTGGAATTATCTTGTGTTTTATTTTGACCACTTATTGGCAGTTTTATGCAATGAGTTTAGTAGCTACTACATGTCGCATCTTTGTGCCAAAACAGCTGTTGTAAAGCAGTAATATCAAACAGAAGCTAATGGGGGTGAGAGCAGGAATATGAAAAATTGTCACTGCTTTCTCTAGAAAGAAATAGTTTCATTTCCTAACACGACTCAATATGTTCTTTTATTTCAAATATGAAGACCTGATGAAGTGCTATAACTTTTTAAACTTGGGACAGAAAAAGAAGGCTGTCCTGCAGAACTGACAGAGGAAATCAAAAGCTTTTTGGTTGGTTTGTTTTGCTTGTGTGTTTCCCCAAAGAATACTAAGGGAGACAAATATATAGACAAAGAAAAATAGCTATTTGGATACTGACTATAGGTATAATTATTCTGTATCTTTCAAGGCAATTTTTCCAAAGTGTTTAATGATTAAAAAAAAAATTAAAGAAGCTCTTCCCTAAAAAGAAACATGAAGTGATGTCTGCAGACTTACAAGACACTTTGGGAACAAAGTTTGGAAGTGCTGTGTTCAAGTTGCAATGAATTAAATGTTAAAAGAGTGTAATCATTATTGCAGGTTCAGAAAAAGACATCTTTGGTTTTCCAGGGCTTCCTCCATTGTTATCCTGATGTGACACTTCAGCAAATTTGCATCTTTTTTTGTGCCTCAGTTTCCAAACCTGTAATAAAAATAAGGAGGACTGTTGCAGCCACCAGTACAGTCTGAGTGTAAGAAAAACACCAATGATGTGTGATGTGTGCTAAACTTTGTGTGCTATAACAGTTTGACCATAACACACAGCAAATTTGCTGAATATTCATTTCTCAAAATCTTAATGTAGACACCAGATTTATCTATGAATATTTGGAAAAGCAATCATTCCATGTTTGCTTCCTAGATTATTTTTCTTTCCTTCTTGCAGATGACTTCCTTTATTTTGACCTCACAATAGATCCCACTCCACATGCATGCTCTGTCACTGTCCAGTTTCCCTCTCTGCTGTAATGGTGTAACAGAGATCATCACAGGAGAATGGCAGTCTGTCCTGAGTGCATGTTGGAGCTGGAATAGCAGTCCATGAGATGACACAGTAACTTTCTTGCTTTCCTTCTCTCCTGTGCGCTTGCTGCAGCCCACATGAGATTCGGGAGCTCTGGGCTCGCCTACGGAAGGAGCGTCCAGAGCTCTTATCCAATTTTGAAGAGTTTCTGTTGCGTGTTTCCTCGTACATAAAGGAGGTGAATCATGAGAAGGAGTCTATGGAGCAAGCATTGAAGAGGTAAGGAGAACATCATGACCGTTTGCTGCCTGGAGCCAGCTGATGCTTGGATCCTGCCTCAGATGCAAGGAGAGACTTTACAGGATGCACCAATAAAAAAGATATTTCTTGCTGTAATAAAATGACTCTTGGTCTGTTCCCATGGGTTTTCTTTGCAGCAGTGCTCACCCATAACATTCAGTCTGGTTGAAATCCCACTCAGTGCTACACAGCTGTTAATAGGAATCTGTTTCCACCCTCCTCTTTCCTTTCTGTACTCTTTTCTCTCCTGACCTGCGTGCACCTGTGTTTTGTAGGAAGGAGTCAGATCATGATCGAGAAGTCAGGTGCCTTTATGAAGAAATGGAGCAACAGATCAAAGCAGAAAGGGAGAGGCTGGTCTGCCAGGTACTTTCTCTCTCTCTTGGCTTGAAGACAACCTTCCTTTGTTCTGAAGTAGAGGTGGTGGCTCGTGTGGCCAAGGAACAGCTCTGTGCTGGATGCTGTGCACAGCTGTGTGTCTTTACTTCTGCAGGAAGCACTGAGGCATGACAGGAGTAACCTGCTCCAGAAGGAGCTGCACAACAAAGAGCAGGAGCTGGAGAAAATCCTCTACCGCCAGAAGAAGGTAATGGGATCCAAATCCTTTCTAACAAAGCGCATCCCCCTCTGCTTCTTTCTGGTCAGGCATTTTCTAATGGAAAATGGTGTTCAGCTGCTGAGGGTTTGGCACTAGATAATTGGCTCTAGCTAGTGAAGTCCTCTCCTGTCTCTGAAGGTGTTGAGATGGTTTGTCAAATAATTGGTTTGTCTTCAGCTGCAATGCTGTTCTGTGAATGTTTTGTTCATGCATTTTCTTACCTGCTTTGTGTTCTCTTGGCACAATCTTCCTATCAATTGAACAATGCTGGCAAGGAAGATGGGGTAAAATTTTGAACGTTGTGAGTTTGAGTTTGAAGCTTTTTCTGGTGTGTAAGGAAGATGTGTGTGGACATAAAAGAGCCAGATTTCTCTAGTTTTTGTATTCTGTCTATTCCAAAGTGACCTGGAGTGAACAGTTCTGTGGCACTTAGAGAGGTACATATTGTATACTTGCAGTTGGGCCCTTGAGGAGATTCTGATTGATCAGTCACATAAAGATCAAAACACAAGCTTCCCTTTAGCCTGCCATCCCCAGCATGGACATGGATGGTCCATTCCAGATATCTTTTTCCTTGGTGTCTCAAGAACTGACATGTGCCCCCTCCACAGAAACAAGTCATGGCAGGTACCTACAAGATGCTGGAGACTGGGCTTATCCCTGTTGGATACCCAGCTGTGATGTGGATGAAACAGGACTTCTCTAAAATCACCAGCTCATTGTCCAGCAGCTGGAAAAGCCAGCACAACTGAGGTGCCATGAGGAAGGATATTGAGAATAAGATACGGATGTATTTCCTGCTGCCCACATCTTTGATGTGCTTCAGTGTGTGCAGTTCTGGTCTCCTCTAATTCTACTGTGTCCTTCTCAAGTATGAAGATACAGAGTGCTGATATTATTAAGAAAATGGAAAATTTGTGTCAGGAAGAGAAACCAGGAAAGTCTAGACTTTAAGATTTTGGAGAGAAGGAGACTGAGGGAAGATGCATTTGAGCTTTATGAACTCAGAAAAGTGATGGATAAGGTCCACACCAAACTGTTATTCCCCAAGTCCTGCAGCAGCAAAGGTGAGGGACCCTCAATGAGACCCGTATGAATTTGATTTAGAAGAACACTCTTCTTTATACAGAGATCAGTGCTGGACTTCTGGCCCCAAGAGGCAGGTAATATCAGCAGTTCAAAAATGAATTGGACAAACAAATAGGCTTGTAAATATTCATTGAAAGGAAGAATAGTCAGAGATGTGGCCTCTAGCATCCCTAGTGCAGGTACCATAGATGGGAGGGATATATGGGGGGAGTGAACCATAGTTAGGAGCTCAGGCATGCTCTTCCTGGGTAGCATCTGCTCTTGCTGAGGATCAGAGTCGAACACTTGGGCTGCATGGAAACTTGCTGTTACTTGAATAGTCAGCTCTGGTGCTCTTAACTGAGGCTTGTACTGAGCTGTGTGGATAATCGGGTCCCTCTTGTGGCCTAAGACCAGTACTGTCAGGGTGCTGTTCTACAGCATCGCTTCCACGGACAGACCACATAAATGGGAGAGTTGAGCGTGATGAAGGCTTTTTAGGGAGGGGCTTTATTTAAAGCTGATTCCTTGGCTTATTGAAAGATCTGAAGCTTTAAGCAGGGGTTGCTGGTTTTCAGTCTCAACTCCGCTGCTCAGCACATGTAGTCTTGCTGAAATATTCCCCAGTGTCCACAGGAGTGGAGGACTCCAGGCAAAGCTGGGTGTGGCTTGCCCTTCTATCCTCAGTGAGGAGGGAGGTGAGGGTTGTGTTTCAAGGAACCTAGGAAACGTCAGATCTATTCATTCCTGCTCTTGACAGTTGGACATGTGTGCTGGCAGAGAGGAGGACAGCAAGAAAAAACGGGCATTTTATCTTCTGCCATGGTGTGCTGCTTTATTTTTCTTTTGAGAGGGGGAGAAAGTAGGCTGAGAGAAAAGGCAAGCTGAAGGTGTAAATGTGGAGGCTGACTCTGCCACCTGCTACCCTGATCAGACCTGATTCCTGGTGTTCCTTTCTAGTTATAAGCATGGATTGCATGCTTTTATTTTGGGCTGTAAGTTCTAAGATAGATGCTGGAGTTTCTGTGTAGCAGCAGCTTCAGCAGAGGGCTCTGGTTAGCTGGTGTGGCTGGATACTGCAGTGTCACTATGATCCCTCTTGAAATGCCCTCCCATGTCATCTGAGATGGGCAGCTTTGGCTGCTACATCTGTCTGTCTCTTTCCCAGACTATGACAGCCATTTGTAAGGAATTGAATCACTGGCTGAGTACATGGCAGCAGCTTTGAACTTCCCAAATCAGGCTTGTTAGTTGTGCTGGGGGCTTGTGCTGCATAGAGTACAGCCGTGCCCCTGTGGCATTTAAATTGCATCTCTAGCCCAAGGTCCTGTCTCTAGCAGGCCACCCAATCACTTCACTTTCCAGATGTAGTCTGAAATGCCCCTAGCACCTCCATATATCCTCCTTTCAGGAAGCCCCTAAACTAGAGGATGCACTTCAACAACTCTGCTTAATAAGTCCCGACAGACACAACCCTGCTTCCACCCAAATTTTTCCAGTTCTCCTTTGACCCCCATTTGCACTCTGAGTCCTACAATGAGGCTGCTCCTGCTGCCTGAAGCACTTCCTCAGCTGTGCCTAATTGCATTGCTTGGGTCCCCAGTGCTGACATGATGAGAGAGAATTCCTTCCAGTTCACCTTCTCAATGCCCCTGGTGGCTCTGTAGACTTAGGATTTTTTTACCCCCTTCTGCCTCATTGTTTACATCTGCTTTTTCAGCTTGTTTTTACAGTTGTGATTGTAGCACAAAACCCTTCCTCTGTGTTTAACCCCTCCTTTTCCTCCTCTCCCACTGCAGCTGGAACATCAGCTACAGTCACTGAACTCGGAGCAGCTGGAGACGCGCGTGCAGAACGAAAGGCTCCGGCACCTGAATGAAAACCTGCTGGAAGAGCTGGAGAAAAGCAAATGGGAGCTAGAGGCAGTGAAGGGACAATTACAGAAGCTCCAGAAAGAGGCTCAGATTGAGCAAGAGCAGAAGGACAGGTGAGAAAAAACAGGAAAGGTGTGGTGTTAGGGCAAAGACATGGACAGAGAAGGAAAGATTGGGCATGCAGTTAAGGAATAATTATCACTAGTTAGGAGCCTTGGTCTCATTAGAAGATTGCCTGTCACTTTTTGGGGAAAAGGAGAAGCATCCCAATGGTCTCATAGGCCCAAATAGAAAGTGATATTGCTTACTCTTGCCTACCTCCTGTGGGAAATGAATATATTCTAGAAAATATTCTAGAAAAATTCTGTACAAAAATACAGATGTTCCTCAGCCTAGAGGAGGCTTCTCCATGTATTTTCTAGTTCACTATCCCCTCTATAATGTTCTCTTTAAAGATCTTCTAATCAATTCTGTTCCCATTTCTGGGTTAAATCTAATAATACCTATATAAAACATTGAGAGGTTTCAGATCTAGTTGGCAGTGAGTATCCTTCCCATTTCCAGCAGCTGAGGAAGTGGAGAGGATGAGTTGCCTGCTCTCATGTTGGAGGACAGCAGGAGAGCTCTGATACAACCCAACTATCCCAGCTCCCCAAACAGTGCTGCTTCCTCTGAATTCTCCTAAGCATAAGGCATGCCCTTGTCTTTGAGAATACCATGAGTGCCCCTGAGAGAGGGATGTTTGTATTTTCTCACCCATTAATTTATTTCCCCTTATTTTAAAAACCTTTTGCCCAGGGATGTGTTTAGAGTCTCCAAGAACATGCAGAAAGAGAAACAAAGCCTCCTTCGGCAGCTGGAGCTCCTCAGGTGAGAACTGGTGAAGGCTGGAGGGAAATGCTGAGCTCTTATGCCTCTAAGGAGCTGAGGTTTCAGCACTGTGCTTATTTCTCCCATGGAAAGCTACAGAATTGTATTCAAGCAGTGTTTAGACTCTGCTTGTTTTTCTAGGTCCAGACAGAGTTGTGCAATTTGGCCAGCTCTGGCACATTACAGGCTATGTTATTTCACGAGGTAATCCCTCCTCTGGAGGAATTTAGTCTTTCCTGCTGGCTAAGGCAACCATGTAGAGCCCATGACCTTGGCTGGGATACATGGAAATCCCAACATGTCCAGCTATAAACAACATCTTTATCTCTGTTCCCAAGCTCTGTTCCTGTTCTCATTTTCAAATGTTGAGGTTTACTTAATTTTTGACAAGCATCTCATTGTGTCTTTTCCGTGTCTTCCTTTGGAGCAGAGAAATGAACAAGAAACTTCGAGATGAGCGAGATGCCTTTGAAGCCAAGAAGCTGGTTAGTCTAAGAAAGAAAACCTTAATTCCCAACCACCCTCCTCTCATCTGCTGCTGTTGCTGTCACCACTCGGGGGCCTGTCACTTCCACGGGGGACAATGACAAGAGCTCTCGGGGCCTGGTGTTGTGCTTAATACAGACTTTGCAGTGCCTCTGTGTCCGTGCTGGAGGCAAGCTCTGCTGGTTGCTGCTGCCAGCTGCCTGGGTTTAACCCAGGGCACGTTGGCTGGGGACTGTCACACAGCCTTGTGCAGGGCTGCAGTGGGTGCTGCCTGCTGCACATGTGGGTCTGTGTGTTGTGCCAGGCACTGGGCACATGCAAGGAGGGGAGAGAAGCTGGATGCATCCTGGAGCTGGGTGCTGAGGAAGAAGATGGATTCTCGGATATGCTGCTGGCTAACTGGGTAGTACAGGAGGGTTTTGGAGTTTTTCTGACCCCCTGAGTTTGTAGCAGATGTTTTCAGAGGTTCCTCTGGGGAGCTCCCCATTCCTGTGAACTCTGCTGGGTGCAGCAGTGAGCCTTGTGTCAGAGAACTAGGAGAAAGCAGGATCTCTCTCGTCTGGAACTGTCAATCCCTGGCCTTTCCCAGGCACCAAGATAAGCACAGATATGTGGTCTATTTTTAATTCTTATTATTTTTTCATTATAAAGCTTCTGTGTTCCCAAATGTTGCTTGCACAGCTGCTCTGCCTTCTTGGACCCATCCTTGCCACCATGTCTTTGCCTGCTCTGGGATCTCTGCACTTGAAGGTCTGGAAGTAGGTGACTTGCAGGGAGGACAGTGATAGGGTGTGATAGGCTGCAAGAGCTTTTCTGACTGCTGTGTAAAGGACTCTGGAAGAAAACACAGGGATTGTGTTTGGGAGACCAAATGCCCTGCTTGGTCCAGAGGTTGGAGTTCTCCAGGTGGAGAGCTGTATAAAATAATGTCAGTAACAATTTTGGATAGAGGTGAGGTATGTGTGTTTCTAAAATCTGGAAGATTTTTTTTCTTCAGTCTTCATTTTTAAAGCTGCTAACTACATGGATGTACACCAGAGCTTCCTGCTCCCTCTTGGAAAACACAGCCACTCTGTATCAGAGTCCAGTGCAAGCAGGCAAAGAAAATGGTTTCTGTCCTCTATCCATGTGTTGTGCTTCATCAGCTTGTGGGGTCCTATGGGTGGGCAGGTGGCCTGAGGAGACCACAGCTCATGTCTGTACCTCTGTGTGTGCAAAGCTTGTCTGCTTCTCCTCTGTTCTCTTCTGCTCCCCTGCTAAGACCTGCTGCTGCAGCTGGACCCAAGAGAGAGCCCAGCAGAGAGTCACAGCACAGAGGGGCTGCTTTCTCCCTTCTCCCAGCACTGGCAATAGGGAATGAGGCACAGGGTGAGCTCCAGCCACCATTGCTCATCTGGCAAGGCTGTGTCTTGCTGGGCACTTGACGCCTGCACTGGAATAAGGTTTTTTCCTTTGGCTGCTCTCGTTTCAGTCCACAGGGAAGCAGGGCTCCAAGGGCTTGCAGAGATGCTGCTATCATCATACACCTGCAGAAGGTCTGCTCCCCAGCTGTCTCACAGTAAGGGGGGTAAAAATACTTCTCTGCAAAAGCAAAAAGGAGAGTCCAGCCTTCTAATGGGGATCCCTAGTGTGTGACACACTCTCTGCCAGAGACTATCAATGCTTTTACAGGCTAAAAAGAAACCCAAGGCCTTAATACCCTCTTTTAGTGCTGGGAAGAGTTATTTCTGTGAAATCAAGGTGTGGTGAACAGAGGTTCTTTCATAGCAAAGATTTTGAAGTGGTTGGTTGGAGGAGTTGGGCTGTATGTGGCTGATAGCAACCCAGTCACTGCTCCTTTGCTCTTCTCAGTTCCCAGCTTAATACCTTGCTCTTCATAAGAGTTTCTTGCCTTGCCAGGGTGAGCAGACCCTGGCCCCACGGCACTGTGGGGCACTCTCTTGTCCTAGGCAAGAGAGGCTGGGTCACAGATAGGGATATGTGGCTATTTCTGTCAATGTGCAAACCATGATGGGTATTTTTAAGACCCAGGGGTTGCAGGTTCACTTTCACACCCGTGACCATCTGGCTATGGAGTTTTGCTTGTATGCTTTATGTTGACAGAGCAAATTTCATGTCTGTTCATCATGAAGAGTATGAAGAGTGTTTTGGTACTTTGACTACTTTTGACATGTATTTTCATTTCACTGGTAAACCAGAATCTTTCCCGTCCAAAATGCTTGTACATGTGCTGTCGTGGATTCCTTGTAATCATGTGTTACACAGCTGTGATGTCACATCTGTCCCTTTATCATCCTGGTGAAAAGCCAAATGTTACACAAACCTGGCAGGCCAATAAAGCATGGCAGAACCAATGGTAAAACATGCCCCATTGTTCCTCCTTTCTTACCCAAGTCTGTGCTCTGCAGGCTGTTCCCTCTCCAGGTAAGGTCTTGGCAGAGCAGATTGTGTGGGAGTCCTTTTGCTCCACAGATGACTTGAAGGTTGTAACTCAGCTGCAGTGGCCTGTAACACAGTTTCCTCCTTCTGTGTGGCTAGAGGGTGCCCTCGAGTGAAGCTGCTCGAACACTGAAAACCTCCCCTTCTGTCCCTGCTGGAGAACCCCTGGTTGTCTGCACCACAGCCTGCCTGTGTTGACTGGACTGTTGTTATGCACTTGGGGGTCATTTGCCTTGGGACATTTGTGCTTCTGGGAGTCTCTCAGTGCTGGATTGTTTCTGTGGCTGGAGGTTCTTTTGAACATCAGTTTCATATGTAAAAAATGTTTTGTTCTTTCCCTGCAAAGCTCCTAGTTGGGTCAGGCCCTCTGGAGTCTGCAATGTTTCCCTTTGTTAGACTGCATTGCAGTAAAGGTGTTCTGGGACATCTGGCCAACAGAACAGCTTCCTGATTTTTTTGCCTTTTAAAATAAGCCTTCAATAAGGATTATTGAAGAAATAATCTTTGTAGTCCCCCAGGCTCTGGGAAGCATGAAGGAAGGCCTGTCCAGAGCTGCCTGCAGGTGTTTGGTCAGTTCAAAACTGCTGTGAGGCAGATCTGGCAGACTGCAAACCCTTTTTCCTCCACCTTTCCCCCAGAAATAACCAGTAAGGACATGTTAGAAATCTTCAGATTTGCAGACTGAATATGTCTCCCTTTCCCCTAGTGCCCATGTGCCCATGGGCCCCTTTCCATCCTGTCTCTCACTTCACATTTTGTGAGTGTGGCCAGAGCAGTGACTCTGCTGGGAATGGCAATGCTGCTGTATGGGAGGAAGACGGTTGGGAGAGAGATTGTCCTGCTTTCTCCTTCTCTGAGGAGCTGGTAAATACTGGCTGTAGGAAGTGTTCATTCTGTGGTAAGAAGGAGGAAAGCATGGGGAGGGATGTTGGTGTAAGGCAGAGTATGTACACTGTCCTTTGTAGAGCTGCCTCCTTCCTTTTCTGTGGTTCATGTGCAGCTCTTAGTGAGTACAGGTTGAGGAAGGGTACTAGTGTCTTCTGAGGAAAGGGCAATTGGTCTGCCCCACAAAACATCAGCATAAGAAAGAGGCAGGTGGGGAAAGAGATTCAGCTGTGAGACCAAGTGGAGAACAAGCCAGAAAATAAAAACTGTGGCTGGCTAGAGGAAGAATTCAGTTTGGGACATCACCACTTTGATGGATTTTAAAGTGAAGGAGAAAGCAGCAACAGTGATGGCTTCTTGCAGGAATTGAATTATTTGAACTGAGGAAAACAAGCCCTGTGCTCACCTCTTTCAGCCTTCCAGTGAGGCACTACCACTGCACTGGTAGTGGGGCTGCCAGGGCTCCAGCCTTGCCTCCTCAAAGTGCTCTACAGAGGTGGGGAGAGGTTGAACTGGGGCTGTAATCACATTCTTCATTCCTTCTCTTTTCAACTTCCAGGTGCCTCAGAACAAAAATGCCCTGTTGAAGAAAGGGTCAGGGCTAGGCAGTTACCTGCTGGAGGACAAGCCTGTCAAACGGTTAGATGGGTGTCTGTGTCGTGTCCCTGCTGTCAGTCCGTGCCCACTGCAGTACCCTGTCAGTCAAGCTGTGTCCTGGGTCTGGTTCTCTCCCACCTTGGTGCTGGCTGGTTTTGGGAGTGTGGTGGGGTGCAGCTTTTCTGTGGCTTTAGCCATCTCTTGGCATCAGGTGGTGTTAGCTCAGCATGAAACTGAGGATACTGTTCACTAATTTCCACAGGGAGGTGGCCCTGCTGCTGCTTATGCCTGCAGCAATGGGGGAGCAAATCTAAATATCACCAGAAGGTCTGGGACTGTTAATGGGATGGGAGTCACAAAGGCTGCCTCTTTCTGAGTCAGACAGCTCTGTTGAAATGACTGGATCAACTCCCAAGTGTGCCAGTTTGTCCTCAGGCACAAATCCACTGGTGCCTCGTGCCAGAGTCCACATCTCTGGGGCATGGGAGAGGGCAAAAATTGCACAAGGGTTGGGTTCTTTCTGGCAGCTGAAAGCCTCAAGGAGAGGGCCTGGCTCCAGGTGGCTTCATCCTGCTCATCTCCCTCTAGAACTATGCAGATGCTCACCTGGCATATCAGGCCTCCTTTCAGCCAGGGCAGGCAACCGTGTGGCCAAGCCACTTTTTTTTTTTTTTTTTCCCACTCTACATGCAGAATATACCATGACCTGGCTTGGAGCTGGATCTCACCTGCAACTGCTGGCCCCAAACAAGTTTTAAAGGCAGTGTGCTCCCCTGTTTCTTACCAGGTCTCTGCAGAAAGTGCCATTGCTGCCCAGTTTCTCCTGGTGGCAGCCAGAGACACAGGTCTAGGCTCAGTTTCTTCCAGCTTCAACTCACCCTTAATGCTTGCAATTCTGGTAGTGGCATTTAAGGATTTAGCTCACGGCTCCTTGGCTTATGGACTTACAGAAAACCCTGGAGAGGGCTGATTCTTGGGCCCAGGGTAGGAGGTTGCCTGGTGAGGTCCGAGGCAGAGCTCCTTCATGGTTGTGTGACTGCCACATTCTGTTCATTGAATCAGATAACCAAGTTCTCCCATGCTCCTCCCCAGTTATTTCTTGCAAAGATCCTTCTTGCTGCTACTGGAATAAACCTCCTGGAAAGGCTTAACAGCTGGAGAAGTTTGGCAATGAAGGTGATGGGAGAAGGGGAAAAGCAGTTCTTGGCCCCATCTCTGTCCCGGTGCTGAGTCACACCACATTGCTTGAGAAACATGAAAAGAAATCCATTAGATCTGAGGTCACTGTTCAGTGTTTTGTGTTTGTCCCTTTGCTCCCACTAAAGAGGGTCTTGAGACCCCTCATTGTGTGATTTTGCCAGTCCTGGGAGATGGGCACCATTCCCCAGAGCCTGAGACTGTGTGTCCATTTTCAAGAGGGAAGAGTTCCAGCTGGCCTGGCTCTGGACTGACAAATGGGGCAAATGCAGGGAGGGCAACCAGGAATGTGAGCTCCCTTTCATAGAAAAAAGTGTAGGCATGGCAGCACATGGATTTTGCAACCCAGATGAAGTGTACTTGCTGGAGTGAGAAAGAAGAATTGTCTGGATTCCTGCACTAACAGAAAGAGGAAAGGGATGTCCTGCCTCTGAAGAGACTGACTGTAGTATGCTCTGGTCACTCTAATTTTGTTCCAAATGCAGTCTGCTGGACAGTGAAAGCAACGGAGACATCACTAGTAGATAAATATCTTCAGCTTAATTTTAGGCCTTCTCATTCCTTGCCTAGTTCTTTAACCATAGAAAACCAGTGACGCTGCCTTGCTCCTCAGCAGTGATTCTAGTATTTTAAATTGGTTATTTTAGGTGTTCTTTTGAAGGTTGTTCCTCCAACTACTACATCAGCTCTACCCCCAGTGCATCAGCCTGCTCTTGTGTGGGCACAGTCTGTTGTCTGTTACTTCTTTTCATATGGTATTTAGTAACAAAAATACAGGGGTAATTATTGCTTCTTCTTTTTTTTTTTTTTTAAGGGGCTTTCATTTTGTATGTTTTGCCTCATTTTTTCACTGCTGGGGGAAGCAGTAGGCAAAGAATTCTTGAAAAATCCTAAGTGGCATTTTTTATTAAAATTAATTAAATGTTTGTCAGCACATGAGAGTACAGCACAGCTCTGGTGAGCTCTGTCTCTCTTTCCCTTCCCAGGGGAGCCACTGATGCTTTGGTCACAGGGAGTGTGGGGAGTGAATATAAAGAGTTCCTTTGAGAGCTTCATGTACACTAATTGGATTGCATTGGTTGGTTGGTTGGGAATTTGCAACCTCCTTCTTTCCCTGTGTCCTCCCCCCCTCCCACCCTATCTGTGCTGCCTGTGGACTTCAATACAGACAACTGGCCTCTGCGGACCTTCCCTTCACCCTCCCAGTGGACGTGGCAGTGGAAGAACCCAACAGAAAGAACTGTAAATACTTCCCAGGCAATGGGGTATGGATGAAGACAGGAGAAGGAGGCAGCACAAACTTTGGAGAGAACAGCAGAGATGAGGAGAGATGGCCCTTGGCAGCAGATCCTGAGTGGTTTAAGATGACTTTGAAGGGTGACTCTGACTGCAGAAAAAATGCAGATGGCCTAGATGCTGCTCCACTGCCTCCTCGAGCCCAGCCTGTTGGCACTGAAACCAGGGTGAGTGCAGTTACCTGGGATATTCCTCAAATACCTGCTAGGGTTAGTGTCTGACTCTCTTCCCATCAAACTCCAGATTTACAGTGCCGGGGTCCAATCCCTAAATCAAAGTACTGCCTGCAGCTGGGCTCTTCAACACCTCATGCTTTTTTCCATTGTAGCTCCAAGCACTGGAAGCAGCCAGCTGTTCCCCAGATCGCATGTTTAAAGTGGTGTTTGTGGGGAATTCTGGTGTTGGGAAGAGTTCCTTCATCCACCGCTTCTGCTATGACAGGTTCTTGGCTGAGCTCAATGCAACCATTGGTAAGTAATAGGGTGTCTGCTTCATCTGAATAAGGAGGGTGGGAAAGGCAGCCTGGGAAAATACTCTTTTGCCTGTATTATAGTCCAGCTACAGGGTAAAGATAGTCCCTTTCCCAGTATTGAATCAATCTCACAATTTCCCTGAACTAAATGGAGTTTGTCTGGCCCATGCTACCTCATAATCATTGTCACCTTCCTGACAGGTATTGATTACCAGGTGAAGAGTCTAATGGTGGATAACACCCAGATTGCCTTACAGCTGTGGGATACAGCTGGACAAGAGAGGTAAGTGTTTTCTGCCAGGCTCAGTGGAGGAAAGGGAAAGAGTGCATGCAGCTGGTTTCTGTTCCTGGGAAAACTATCAGCCTCTGAAGGACCAGACAGGTCATGACAGCCATTCCAGTGCTGAACCTGCAGCAAAGGTCTGTTCCAGAGACTTCTAGAAGCTGTGACTGTGAAGCAGGGCCTGGGGAGATCACTATGAGGGTTGCAGAAAAGTGGTTTTCCATGTGTCTGACCTGCATGCTTGTGGCTCCAAGCAGTCTGTCCATAGATGTATGTCATGGGGTTCAAAGGGTGGAAAGGACTGTGAATCTTTCCAGATCTGATTTGGCTGTCAAAACTGGCTGAAAATGCATGACCTGTGGGGAAGGTGATTTGAACTACCCTGCTGGACTCTGTCAGTGAGGTTATTGGCCCCTTTTGCTGTCCCTTCTGCTGATAGACTTGTGGAAGTGATAATCCTTGGTAGAGGGGTTGTGCAGCATTCTGTGACAGTGAACACTTGCTCCCCATTTGAAGCCCTCTAGTTTTAAAAGCCTGGGATATCTCTAGATGTTACCAGCAGTGTTAGTGAGGACAAGAGTAGGAGAGGACACATTTGACCCTTTATCTGCTACTAGAGATCAAGGCCCATCACTGGCTCCATGTAAATTACATTTTATGTAGGATATAATTCAAAGCTTAAGATGAGAAGCTATTTCAAGAGGACCATGAACCTCAAGGGCCTGACAAAAATAAGCACTGGGTGTTTTGAGCTAAATATGTTATGGGGGCAGGCCTTCAGGGGGCAGCCAAGGTCGTGGGAATATTCTAATCCTGAATTGTGCCAATGATGCTGTCTGTCTCAGGCAGCTAGACCATGCAGAGCTGGTGGGAATGTACTAAGTAGGAGTATCTTTTGAAAAGCAACTCTCTCTTCCAAAATTAGGCTTCACGCTGAAGAAATAATTATTTCTGAGGGGACTCCTGTGGTTATTTTGATGCTGAAACTGAGCAGTAAGGGGAGTTGCTATGACATAAAATGTGACATTTTATTGAGGCCAGATTTCAGCAGAGGCCAAATTCAAGATATTGTCTCTGCAGAAGGACCTTTACCACAGGCCCCTGCAGCACTAGCAGGTCTTAGATGAGTACCCACAAGAGAGACCTTGGCTCAGTGCCTATACCAAATAGGAGACCTGGGATGAAGAAAAAGGTTTTTCTTCTTCCGTAAGAATATTACTTCTAAATAGAGGTTTTCAACTGTAAATATCTAAGGAAGAGGTGGAAGAACCCCTTGGAGCATGCAAGGAGAACTCCTTGGTGACTTCCCTGAGACTTATGCATGCTACCTTTGATGGTTCTTCTGGAGCATCTTGCCTAGCTGGCAGTTCCAGAGGTGCATCTTGATTGCCAAAGATACATTCTGAGGTTTCTCAGTTGGGTAGGTGCCAGAATATTGTAGTAAGAAAGAACAGGCTTCAGGCAATTATCTGAAGAGTACAGGAGGGTAACAGCTGCAGGTTTTCTTGGCTTGTAAGAGTAGAGTCTGTTGTCCTGTGCAGGGCTGAAATACACAGCTCTCCAGTGAGATCTCAGGACTTTTGTTACATTTATTATTTCCCAAATTACATTGTTAATTCCATCAGTTTGCAATCATTGTGGTTATATCATGGCTCTGTCACAAAGTGCTTACAGATTCCAAGGTTGGGAGGTTGGGGTTTGTTGTTTGGTTTTTGGGGTGTTTTTTGGTTTTTTTTTTTTTTGGTTTGTTGGTTTGCTTTGGTTGGAATTTAGTCACAAAATATCAGCCTGTGGTTTTAAATGGTACAGACAACAAAAAGTAGATGTCTGGCAGAATTTTTTCCAGGAATTTGTGTCTAGCTCCTGATTTTTTTTTTTTGTGTAATGCCATTGGTTTATAGATTCAATAGTGGAAACAGACTGTACTGATGTTGAGTTCTTAATTGCTGTTTTGGCAGCCCTGGGGCAGGCATTACGCATGCCTAGTTTGTACTGTGGTACAGCTTAGTCTGCAGATTCTTCCAGACTATAGAGAAAGATCATGTTGTCTCCATCAGTTTCCCTTTTAATAGGAAATTACTTTTTCCTGTCCCACCCAAATAGATTCTTCTGCTTATTTCTTTCTGACCTGCAAAGGTCTTCCTTCTTGCTTTCTCAGCACCGTGCATTTGGCAGGATTCCTGCCTACCCACAGCTGCCTGGCCTGTCCCAAAGGTGCAGGGATCTGTCACCTGTGTGTAGACACGAGCCCTGAGGGACAGATCACACACAGGTGCTGCCAGGCCCTGCAGAGAGCTCGCGCTGACAGACAGACAGACAGACAGTCCCACTCGGTTACTTGCCGCGGCCCAGCCATGGTTCTGAGGGTGCCTCTGGTTTGTGTGGGCTCAGGTTTCGGAGCGTCACCAAGCAGTACTTCCGGAAGGCAGACGGGATCCTGGTGATGTACGACATCACGGCCGAGTGCTCCTTCATGGCCGTGCGCAACTGGATGAGCAGCGTCCAGGTGAGAGCGGGACCTGGCCTCCAGGGCTGCTACTGCTGCTCCCTTGCTCCAACACTCTGCCTGGAAGGGACATTTTTCAGTGCCCCAGGAAGTCCTGTTGACCTTGTGAAGCTGAATTATCAAAGCAGATGCCTGTGCTGGTCAGTTTGGAACCAGAGGCTTTGTGTGGAAGGTAACAAAGCCAGTGGTAGCCCATTAAATGAGGGAGGGCTATTTCTGTGGCTGAACGTGGTGGGACCTCCCAAAACAGTAGTGTGGGTTTGTTAGCAGCCCATGTTCACTGGCTACATCTTCTAAACAGGGTCACATCCCACCTGTGCTCAGGGAGGGAGATCTTGTGGTGTCTGGCCTATGCACAGGAAAGGGAAGTGGTTCTTTTTGTTTCCTTTTTTAATTTAAAATTTGGTAACAATCTATTAATACTGTTGGGTTTCCCCCTGTCTTTTATTTCCAAACACTCACTAAAAGCATTTATCTGTGGCTTATATCTTCTTGGGGACACAAAAATACCTCTCTTTAAAATTTAAATTAGTTATGTGTAGATGATCAAGAGGTGAAGTGAAATTTTCAAGGGCGGTTTTGTTTTGATTGTGCTGAGTCTCAAAAAACCCAGATCTCAGTGGAATGAGTAAGTATAGGTTGGAGGATTTTAGCACTGTTAATTTCCACGAGCCTGTTGGGGAAACAAACAAACAAACAAACAACCACTTATGTCTTTGAACTCTAAATGATCAAATGTTAGGATCTTCAAAACTAACCAGCCTCTGAAAATCAGGTTCCTTTCAGGGGGAAGTTTAAACTGAGTGCACAGAAAATCAAACCACATGAAATCTGTATATTTTAATCTCTGTCTTCTTTTCCTCTCCCCATCTGTGTATTTATTTTGTTTTGAAGTTGTTCAGGTTTTGTATGCCATCCAGGGCACTTGAATGTGGAAATAACTTTGAGCCCTGTTCTTACTCTGACCGTGCTCTAGTGAGCCAGTGGAATTATAGAGTTTGACCAGAGGTAAGGGGCTCCAGGAATTGCCTAGGAATAACAGTCCCTACAGAGATAGCTTACAAGGGGTGAAGGTTGCTTAATTTGTTTGGCCAGTGGATTCTCAGCAAGGGATCATTGAGTTTAGGACAGCGCATCAGACACTGAACTGCCCATATGAAAAATACTGAGCTTATTTACAAGACCTGCCCGATCACAAATTCCAAAATGCCTATGGGGCAAGCTGCTTTTCTTTAGGCTTCTTGTTTTCCTGAGAGCACTTATGCCCTGTCTCTCCTCTGTCACTGTCCCAGCTCATACCAAACATTTGGAATGTTACCCTAGTTCAAGCTTCCCTTCACAAATCCCTGGGGCTATTGAAGGAATTACCCTTTAATGGGCCTGCTCCTGCTGCCACTGAAGGTCTTGTTTACTTGAGCTGGAAGGATCTGCTCTGAGGGGCTGGGTCTTTAGGGGTCTTTATTTCTTTTGCAGGAAGGTATAGAGGACGGAGCTGTGGTGTTTCTGCTTGGAAATAAATTGGATGCTGTGCAGAGAGAGACCCGGAAAGTGCCCAAGGTGGAGGGGGAAAGGCTGGCGAAGGTGTGACTCAGTGCTCTGCTGTTTGACTTGCTCTGCAGCCACCCTCCAGCTGTGAGCAGGGCAGACTGGCTGGCAAAAAGCCCTTCTTGGAGCCCTTTTCCAGTATGGTACCTTCCCTCTACCTCCCACCCCTGTCTCTCCAATGTGGACAGGTCCCTCTGGTCCAAGGGAGGATGAGGTGGTGGCCTGTATGTGGCAGACAGTGGCCCTCGAGCAGGCTCACTCTTGGGGCTTGATGCCTCATTACAGTCTTTCTGAGGGGAACATGCATGGCTGATTTCCCATTTGACGGCTCCCTAATGCAACATCATCCTGCCTCTTTCCTCACTCCCTTGTCTGCCTGCCTGCTGGCACCTTGGCCCCTGGGTTGGGGGAGACAGGGTTTCAGAGGTGTTCCTGCCTTCTGGACTCGCAAAAAAAGGTAAGGGAATCAAAGTACCCTGGACAGATGTTTTCTCTTTCCAGTCGACTCCCAGTGCTCCCTTTTGGACAATCTAGCTTGGCTCCCAATGCTGAAAAAGCATTTCCTCCTCCTGGGTGGGTGAGCAGGGTGTGCAGCAGCAGGATAGCAGCCACCCTCCTGGCTCCAATGGCTCTTGGCAGGGTTCCTGGGGATGAGGGTGGGCCAGCTCCCAGGGCTGTGGGTGAATGGTGATTGGGGAGAGCTGGCAGTCACCATGGGTGCTTGCTGTGCTCTCTGGCAGGAGTACAAGGCTGTGTTCTACGAGTGCAGTGCCATGACTGGCTACAACATCATGGAGCCCATGCTGCACATGGCCAGGTCAGTGAACACGAGCTGTCACCCTGGGACACTTGCCCAGCTGGAGGAGACCGGTGTGGGCTCCCCTGGGGAATGGGCAAGGAGAAGGGGGGTGTGAGAGACTGACTTTCTGTCACATCCCAAAAGAGACCTGATTCCAGGTCCTTATCTTTTGTGTCTGGAGAGCACCAAGTGTAGACTGGACTCTTTGCACACAAAGCTTCACTTTCTAGAACTGGCTCTGCAAGATTAGGAGTTCAATTTGAATATTTCATCACAAAAATCTTGCATACTGTCCCAGATTTTAAGCTGATGTTTTCAATTTGAAGTCTTCAAGCAGCTCTAAGGGTTCTTTCTCCCCTATCTTAATAAGCACGGTACAGACTGAGCTATTTCAGTGGCAATCATTTTAGAAGGAGGTAAGATACTGTTCAGCTGAAAGAAATTTGTTCTAAAATTTTTAGTTAAAAAGGTAGTTTTTGGAAAAAAAAGTATTTCAAATCTTGCAAGAAAACCGTCCTTTTGTTTTCTTTTATCTCTTCACTTCCTCCTCACCATGTGTTAAAACCACAGCAGGACTTAGCTGTTCATTAACTGGGTGGATTTACTTATCAGCTAGGTGAATCATATCTCCCATAGCACGTGCCTTCAGCATGCTTTATTACCATGGTGCTGCCCAAGATGGCCCAGACAGGTGGAGCAAACAACCCAGGATTCTGACATCAACAGGGGATCTTGGGAATAAGGCACAGGCCACTCACACTGGTGCTCAGATTACTAAACCATGGCACGCCCTCTTGTATGTGTCCAGTTTCTTTCCCTGTTCCCTAGAAATCCATGCTCATTCTTTGTCTGTGATTAATCTAGCCCAACTTCCAGAAAAGTCCAGTCTTTTGGCCTGTCAATTCTTGCAATCCTAAATGTAAATCCTGGTGGCTAAAATGGCTAAAAATGGCTGGTGGGGAGAGCAAAGGGCAGAGGAAACTGCCTTGGCAGGAAGAGCTCAGTAACCAGGTTGTGTTCTTGATTGGTGCTGTTCTTTCCAGGTTGCTGACAGCACAAGAAGACAGGCAGAGGGAGAATGCCCTGCAGCTGGAGGATATCAGCAGGAGGAAAGGGTGCTGCACATAAAGCACACCAATGTGTCAGCAAGAGACACGTGCCAATGCTGTATCATGAAGCTGGGGGTTCCTTTCAAACAGGCTGAATTTGATGGTATCAGCTCTCTAGAGGCTTGGGGAAGGTGCAGCTTTTCCCAGTCTGTGAATTTTGAGGCATAACTCAGGCCAAAATGTGCATATTATCTGCACTGTTCTACTTCCCAAGTCTGCATGCAGCCCTGGTCTCTAGAGGCCTCTGCTTCTTTGGGGGAATTTGGCTGGTCTTAGCTAGCAGCACAGACTGGGGCCTCTGTCTGGAGAGGTTGGTTCCCTGTAAAGGGATGAAGTCTTGTTCCAGTTCTTTCTGGCAAAGAAGTGGCCTAGCAGCAGAGAGCAGAGGACACAGTGGGTCTGTATTAAATAGAATTTCCATGTAAGAGAGAAAGATATTATTTTAAGTTTGGGCTAGCTCTAAGACGTGATCCATCTGTATCAGAGGGAAGCATCTCGTCTTGGCTCTGCAGTGGCAGTGCTCAGCTGAGAGCCCGCTGTGGTGAGTGAGAACACTTCCACCACTTCCTGCAAGATCTGGAGTGGGCCCTGGATTTACTGCAGCATTTGACTGGACTTGTCAATATTGTAGTTAACAGATTCCATATGTGATCTGATAGGATGAGTCATCCCAATGGCTTTCATTGCTTTGTCACCCTTATGGACCTTTTCACTGTCCTGTCCTATGTTTACAGAACACAGAGCTGCTGCCCTGGGACCCGCAGGCGCCGGCGTGTGCTGCGGGTCATAGCCCATTGCAGGAGCTGTCTGTACAAACCAGGGGAGCCATATATAGCCTGTTTTAAGGCTGAATGCTGCTGTTTCCTCCCATTCTCTCATCCTTTCCTGAAGAATCTCCAGCAACTTGGAACTGCCTTACCCGCAGTCCTGAAAGATCCCACCAGAGTGCATTAAAATGTGCCTGGATGGAAGCACAAGGCAGCTGCCTGTGTGAAATGTACCTTTTCTCTTGCAGGGACCTCGAGCAACAGCCTCACTTGACTGGTGAAGGGCCTGAGAAAGAGCCAGACTGAATCTGTTCCCATTGGGAAGAGGCCTTTTTGTCACTAAGGGGCGGGGCAAAGCAGGGCAGAGGTAGAAACTGTCCCCAGAAGTGCTCCTGTCGCCAAAGCTGCTGTGGCGCCTGGCCATGGAGCTTCTGGGCTGTGATGCTTTCTGGTTTGCAGCTCAGCAGCTCTCAAAGCCTTGGGATTAAGTGAGGTTTTTTTTTAGTGCCCTTTCCCCTTTTGTCTTCGAGGCTGTTTCTGTATGTGACTCTGACATTTTAGGCACAAGATGTGATACTGCAGCTGTGACACAGCCCCCAAACCTTGTGGCATAGGGAGGGCCTGTACTTGTCCATGGTCTTTCCTCTCTTGGGATGAGGTGGTTACTCTCAATGTCTGTTTATTGCACAAATTTTGCTGGGAATATCCCAGGCAGGAAAAGTGCTCTGAGTCACCTACAGACATCAGCATTACAAAGAATTTCCATGGCACCTCCTAGTGCCCTTCTGATAGGAAACAGGAAAATTTTCTCTGGAAGAGCAGGATTTCTGAGTAAAAGGAAGAGCTAAAAGTAGTGAGATCCTGCTCAGTCCTTACTGTTGGCTGGCTGTGGCTCACACTGTTTAACTGCACTAACACCTTGCAGAGGCTGGGAATCAGAAAGCTACAAGAGGCCCTGAAAGAACCAGGGTAGCTGGTGTTGAGCGTGGAGTAAGACCTACAGTGCTGCCAGGGGGACTGCTCGTGTTTGCAAGAAGCAATTTTTGGGAAGGGGAATCCACACTAAGGTGTTCTGAACCTGTGCCTCCCACGCTATGTACACAGCACACCCCAGACAAAGGTGTGAAACACAAATATGGGCCAGTTCTGTGTATTACCTTTATCAGTGCTGTCATACTGCAATGGCAAGAACCAGCAGGTTCTTTCAATGTACAACCTTAAGTATGCTTTCTTAGTGTGCAAACAGTACAGGCAATAAAGAAATGCTGTCTTACAAGTGGTTGTGTTGAGAGATTTTTTACGGGTGCTGCAGGAGATCAGCCTCCCATCTTCAATCACTGATCCTAGTGTGATCTTCCCTTCTCACTGCTCAGGAAGTGGCCTGTCCCCCATAGTGGTACACAGGGGGTCTTACAAGCAGGGAGAGAGTTAACCAGGAACCCATGTCTTGGGGGCAGCTCAGGAGAAATTAGTCTCCAGTCTTTTTTTACCTCCTTTAAGCAGCCAGAGCCTGTCCAGCTGATTAGGGAAAGCAGAGCACGGAGGAGAAAAAGGAAAGATACTTCCCCAGTGTCTGGGGGTATAGTGCTTTCAGGCAGGGATGGGTTCTCACCTTGTTACCTGTATCCATAGAACTAAACCTTTATTTCATTAATGTCACATGCATCCTTTTCACCAGAGTTAAGAATTTGGTTGCTTACAATCCTTGTGCCCTGGCATGGCTCCAGCTGGATGTCCGTGCATTACAGAACTAATCACTCTGCAGTTTTGACCAAACAAATTATTACTCATTTCCCCTGCTATAAACTGATAGCACAAGTAGTTCCTTGTAATATATATTTTTTGAAAGCAGGAAAGGGTGGATTTTTGTTTCAAGGATGACAAAGTGGCACAGAATTTGAGTAGGCTGAGCTTGGACAACAGTAAGCAGCAGGGTTGGGGTTTATTACTGGAAGGTCTTTTGTTGTCTCTCAGCACAATCATTAAGTGTCCTCTTGGAAGACCCAGGGGTATCTTGCTAGTTTTTAAACCTGTCTGTTATCAGATCTAAATGAGACCAAAATTTCCAAAAAGTTCTCCATTTTACTACATCCCCCTTTTTTATCAGAATATCTCCTGCCTCTAAATGGAAGCTCTGGGAGCAGCCACTCTTTGTAAGTGACTGCTGGAAACTGTAGCATAAATGCAAATAATGAGATATCCTGAGGGGGCATGAGATGAGGGAGGATGCAAAATAAGACTGCCTGGGGGCTTATACATTCACCATATTGGCTCCAGCCTCTTAGTGAACAAGTGACTTTTTACGCATAATCTATAAGGTATTTTGGAATCATATCACAAGAAAGTACTCTTCTTACAGCCTTATCCTGGCACATGCAACAGTGCACCTGTGTACACAATCAGGTGTAGGGGCAAAAGCAAAAAAGCCAGCTGCTCTGATAAGTAGCCATGGCCCCACAAATCCCTGCAGGCCGGCAAAGGGACCTCACTGTGCTTTGCTTTCGCTTGTCTGTTTCATGTCAATATGCTAAGGGTAAGCATAAGAGGATTAGGCTGACAGCATCTCTTTGAAAAGCCAAAACAGGGCTGAAAAGAGAGCATTAAGCCCCAGTGTTAAATTTGAAGCTTTTCCACAGGACAAATGCAGAAATTGCAAATGTTTGAGATGTTGTTTTCTAGCACCTTCTTTATTCCAGGTCCAAGGGACCTTTTCCATTTACATACAATTAATGAGTTCCTGTTATAAGGATCATGCAGTCACCCACACATTATTATTTTCACCTATCACCTTCTTCTGTTTGTGTAATTTAATGATCTTTTTACTTGTTGATTGCTTAGACTATAAACCTATATTTGTTACATTTATAAGTAGATGGGACTCAGTTTCTTCATGCAGAAAAGTCAGTTCTTTATTCACAAAGCTTATATCTGTAGGAAATACCAGAAGGCACTTAGACCTAATTGGCTAACAATACACTGACAGTTTATTGGCTGGTAAATAACAAGGCTGTGCATCTGTCAAATCTCTCTATATTTGATTAGTTTACATATTTTGTTCACTGATTCCTATGGGACAGATTTCTTGTTTATTACAGATGCAACTTATTTTCCTCTCTAAGAATAAGTTGTTATGCAAATTCTCAAGATTTCTTCACCTGGGAACTTAGCTAGCTGTACTTAGAAGAAGTAACAGGCCAGCTGGTAAGTCAGCAGAGCAAGGCCTGATTTCATAATGCCTTTTTTTCATAATATCTTTACCTGTATGTAACATATATTATATTGACCAAGTACTTCATCTCCAATTATAAATGTATCTCACAGCCCGTTATGCACCTTCAAATGCTCTGTTTGGCAATCTCACGTTCAGTGCCAATAGACCCAGGCAAGGCCCTGCAGTTCAGAGCTTTGTTAGGAGGTGCTCATTACTTCTCTGGCTATTGATGAGTCACACGGAAATTTTGGTTGGCGTGGCTACAACAACCCAGCTCCAGCCTCTCCAGCCTGCAGGGCATGTTTATATACATATATATATATATATATATATGATGCTGCAAACATTGAAAATACTAGTCCACAGGAGACCTGACCAGGTAAAATTAGTCTTTTCAAGGTAAACAAGTATCTGCAGTAAAAAAACCCAAACCTATTACTCCAGCAATAAACTGAGGATGCGGAGGTGGGGGTCCTGTGGTGTATCTCACCTGTACCTGCAGCTCTCCCAAGCACAAAGAAGTACTTGTGCCTGGTCATGCTCATCTGCTGACCCAAATCTGCTGGGGTGGGGAGGTTATGTGGTTTCCTCTTTGGGCATGAAATCCCTGGACATTGCAAGAAGGCAGTGGCCCAGTGTGGTGGCTACGCAGGGCTCCACCAAGGAGGGGCAGGACCCGGGCAGGGGTCGGTGTCTCTTGTGGCTTCCAGGTTCTGCTACATATTCCCTGAAACAAATCTGTCAGTGTGCAAGCAAGCTGATCCCCCAAGGCTTTCTTTGATCACTTGGTTCTCCGGCAGCTCTGAGCTGAAGTGAGCTTCCTCCTTGGGAAGCATGAAGTGATTTCTGAGGTGGGCACATGCAAAAGTTTAGGCAATCACCCAGGAGGTTGTAAACTGGCCTCTCCATTCCCTGCCAGCTCTCCTCTCTTCATCCCACTCCCGAAAAGCCATGCGAAGTCACTCAGCCGTGGAGAGGGTGCGGGTGTTTTCCCGGGAGCATCCCTCGCACAGGGCTGCTGCTTAGCACTGAAGTATGCGGGCTGTGGCTCAAGTGAGGTAATGGGAGGATGAGGCAATGTGCCAGTCAGGGCTTGATCCTGATTTACAGGGTGTTTC